GGGCCTTTAATTTTTTTTTTAATTAAGGTTAAATTAACAACAGTTTCAGGTGTACATCATCATCATTTGAGTATACTGCAAAGGGATCACAATGATTATAGTAATTTTTTTTCTTGTGATGAGAATCTTTTTGTTTTTACTCTTGGTGGTTTTCCTATGTGGAGTGCAGTATTACTGACTATAATCATGACTCATCTGATCACCTTTTAACCCATTTCACTTACCCTTGAGCCCCTTCACCTCTGGCAACCACCATTTTGTTGTGAATTTGGTTTTATTGTGTTCTTTTGACTCCGCAGATATGTGAAACCTTACAGTATTATCTTTCTCTGATTTAACCTATCATAAAACCCTCACGGTCAGTCAGATCATGTCCCTAATGCAAGCTTTCATTCTTTTTATTGCGGAGTAGTAGTTGTGCATGCCTGCACACACCGCTCATCTTCCTCACGCTGTCTTTCATCAGCGGGCACTTAGGGTGCTAGCATTGCGTGGCTACTGTGGTGAGTGCTGCAGTGAACATAGGGCTCATATGTCCTCCTAAATTTTGAAGAACTTCCATAGGGACTGTATCTGTTTACAACCCCACCCATGTGAGCAGCTCCAGTGTTAAGTTTCTGATGATAGGCAATGCTGAATATCTTTTCATATATGCCTTAGCCATGTGTCTCTGCAATGTGTACTTGATTCTATGCTCAGTTCTTAATCAGGTTTTTTATTACTTGGGTATATGGATTTTTCTGTATGTACTGAATATTAACTGCATATTCAATTTATAAATATTTTCTCCGTTCAGTATGTTTCCTTTTAATTTTTGATGATACTATGCAGAAGCTTTTACTTTTGGAGTTATCTGAAAATTCACCTAGACCAGTGTCTTTATCATTTTTAGGCCTTGGATTCCAATGTTTAACCCATTTTTGTTTGTGGTGGAAGACATGGCCTATTTGTGTGTAGGTTTATTTCTGGGCTCTCGGTTTCACTTTGTATTTTTTGAGCCACTATTTTGTAGTGGAGTCAGGGAGTGTGATGTTTTCGGCATTGTTCTTTTTCAAGATAGCCTTGGCTATTTGGGGCCTTTGTGGTTGTATCTGTATAATTTTAGGATTGTTTATTCTATTTCTGGGAACAGTGTGAGTTTTGAGAGGGATTGCATTGAGTCTATAGATTGCTAGCATCTAGCTTTGCTGATTTTATTCATTAAAGCTACATATATATTTCAGTAGATTCTGTCTATATAAAGATCACATCTACAAATATTGGCAGTTTTATTTTTTCCATCCCATAGGAAATGAACAGATAACATTGTATTGGAAGTCCCGGTCAGAACATTTAAGAATATGACCTCTTTTTGTTGAGTTTTATCATAATTGGATGTTAACAGGTTCTGTGAATTTGCAGGCATTTATTCTAGACATGCTTCAATGTTGAAGAATTCTAGAAATAAGTTTATTGAACATTACAATTTACCCCAGTAGCTGAAGCATAGCAGTTATTTGAATATAAAAAGTACTCGTGTGTCTACATCGAAATTGGTTTTTTATAAGTTACTCTTAAACTTGGCTTAACCATTCGACCCAGAATATGGATCATGTTGTAGAAGACAATATCACATCCCATTGACTGAAGACTGCCAAGAGCATTATAAAGTGGTGAACATCTGCCAACTCCAGTTGCTGTATGGAGCTTACAGTCACCCAAATTTGGTAAGGCAAAATTAACACTGTATTTTGTCTCTTTACTAAAATCTGCTAGCTAGACTCAAAGCTTGTATGCAGTTCTCAATCCCATCAAGAAATACCTGGTACCCAGAATCCCTCAAGACCCTCACTGTTTTAAGAAGAGTTGTAGGTGAATCTAGGGGAAAATATGTGTAATATCCAGCAGATTATTTAAACAAAAATTATTTGTCTTCTGTAGATGGGCAGACTGAATACTAGTCATTCTGGAGATGGAATCCTAGTGTCCATTTTTAGAACAGCAGAAGACTGTGGAAGCAACATCAATCAAAGCATAGAGTTGATGACAGCTAAAAGTAAGTTTGTTGGAAGCTAGCTGAAGTGGTCATGCAGGATTTTCTTTTTTTACAGGCATTCTGAATACAGTTGACATTGTAAATACTCAACATTGGGTAGACACAAAGCTGCTACAAAAGGGAACTGAGCAGAACTATCTTCTTGCTCATCACAGCACAGTCAGGCAATTACACTTACTGTTTCCATAAGAAAAGTACCACCGGCCTTTACTCACAGTTGACCACAGGACATACACACTGGCATATTTGTAAGTGGTTGATCTAAGTCTTTAGTGGGGGACAGAGCTCAAGGTGCCTAGTGCTGGAGTTTAAAAAAAACTTAAAAACCGGCAAGTCCGGTCCGCCACAAGCCGAACAAAAACAAAAGGGGGTAACCGAAGGCAAAAAAACAAATCCAATTCCGAAAAAAAACGAAAAAAAATAAGGCCCCAACCAAGAGGGTCTTTACACAGGAAAAGCATGTGGTTTGGAATAAAAGACCAGGCTGGTAAGTTCGGTGCCTCAAGCACCTGTGGGTAAGATGTTAAAATAATTTGGGAGGGCTGTTGTGATGAGAAACCCCAAAAGGTTAGCTCCTGAAGTGTCCCTCTCCTCACCACTTCCCCAGGCTCCTTACCAAGTAGCACAATGTAGGAATAATCTGGAGTTTACAGCAAGTGCCCAGCAGCAGTGCTGCATCATCAGGCATTTCTGCAGGAGACAAAAATCAATATAAAATTAAAAATAAAAGCTCCAACCCCAAGATTTTACCTAATTATAACTTAAGTACTTGCCTATCAACTGAACAAAGCACTCAGTAGTTATGCAGTGACCTTTTTGAAAACAAGTGTCACCAGTTCTGTGTTTACCTTGTCAATAAGAGACCATGGATGTAATGGTGGCTCCTACTAGGCTGATCATCTGAATGACACATTTGTCTGTCATGTGTGACTGTAACAAAGATATTAAAAGCAAGGAAAATCAAGGTGGTTACGCCCAAAAGGAGTGGCAAGATATACAGTGGTTAAAAGTTTTATCACTGAAAATTGAAGGACACCAAAAAATATTTTTGCTACAGGGGTTCATCAGTACTAAATTGGCTTATAAAAATGTTAGAGAGATGTCTTTAAATGTTACTGGTAATGGTGGTGGACTGCTCACTTCCAACACCAGGCTCACCTGCACCATGTACTCACAGCTAGATTTCAGCACAGTCCAACACTACGGAACATCAGGAAGCTGTCCCAGATCCGGTGAGCCCCCACCATCGTGGGAAACCAGAACCTGACCCCCAGCTGCTGCTCTTGGAGCAGCAAGCCAAAGTGACGGTGCCCCGAGCCAAGGAACTGGCCTCCACTTCCTGGACAAGTGCAGACCTCAACTCCGATACCCTGAGGAGATGCATGCTTCACGGAACAGGAGGTGGGTGCACACTCCACCTAGACTCTTGTCCCAAAGACCTGTGGGCAGGTACTAGTCAGCACCACCCAACTGCTCTACCCCAATGGGTCACAGCACATACAGCTCCAAACTTGATACTCCTGAGTAAAGGAAATCTTTGGGACATTGCAAGGAGAAAAAGGTCTATCACCTGTGATAACAAGACCTCAGAAGAGTATAAACTCTCATACATAGCATTCAGAACTGTCCTAATAGACTCAGTAACTTTTCTAACTTGCTTTCCTTTTATCTGAGAACAAAATTCAATGATCAAGAAGGTAAAGATCTATATAAATGAGAGCAAGGACTCTAGAGAAAGTAATGGAGTCGGTGACAGGGAAGATAGTACTCCCCTACACATCCAGGCGAAGGGAGAGTGACCAGAGGGGTGAAGTGTGTGTGTAAATCACATAGTCAGTTGAGGGGGGCAGAGATCTACTGCCACACAGCCTGCCGAGGGCTCCAGTGTGAATCACAGACTCTGGGAGATGCCTGCCTGTGTGGAGAGCATCTGGCAGGCAGCAGCATTCATGCTCCTGCCACCTCATGTAAACTTCCCTGGCCTTCCAGTTAATTGTCCTTTCCGCAGCTCCCAGAGAAGTGTCTGATAGGTAACAACAGCATTTCTTTTTTCCATACCTGCTAGTGCACTGACCAAGAAGTAGGCGAGAAAGAAGAGCTTCTGGTTGCTGACCACGTCCTGCGGTCCCAGGCACTGGCCCTGCATCCTGTATCCCACCAGCCGCAGGAAGGCCATGAGATCCTGCTGCTGTGGGGACTTCAGTTCCCCCAGCATCTCCTGTGGGGGTGACAGGCCAAAGACCACATCATCACACTGCAAAAGGAAGAGAAAATGTGGTGAGACCAGACGTCTGGACTGTACCGACTGAAACAAGACCCTGCTCCACAAGGTTACGTTTCTCATAAACATTGAACTGAGTCTTGCCCAAGCTCTATTCCTGTACAAAGGGGGGCAAGGTGGCACACAGAAGCCAAGTGCATAAAGGCATCATCCCCAAGCTTTAAACTTGGCAGTCAAGTCCCATGTTACCAGCCAGGCGCCGTGCAGCTGAGATAAGTCTGCCGGGAAGTGGGCAGCTCGGCTCCAGGGTAGCCTTAGTGTGAGAACCCACTTCTCGGGCAGCTCTTCCACAGGGTGATGGCCTGAACTTTCCTCTTAAGAAGCTATTTTAGGAATTCTAAGTGGGCTTTCGGAAATGTTTATGTTCTCCTGGAGGTGAGCTCTCTGTTTCGTAAGCTCCACATCCCCCAGAACCTAAGGGAGTAAATTTCTGTGGTGTCAAGCCATGAAATTTGACCTACAGGGGCTGTCACTAAGCTCTTCCAGTATGATCCAGTTTTAGGAGGGGAAAAGTATTTCAGAAATTATTGAAAGCCAGAAAGTTTTAAGTTCTGTATAACAGAATAACCCAAAGAGACAAACTATACCCGGTATCTCATGACAGACTCTGGGGGCTAGGAATTAGCACCTGGTATGTGCCTCCCCATTGGTACCTAGCTGGTGCCCTCACAAAGGTCCTGCTGCAAAAAAAAGACCTATTTTTCAATCTTTTAAAAAATAGACAAGGCTGTGACCTTAAAAGTCCTTGCAGATTAAGGTAAGGATCCCCCTAGATAGGAATGGGCCCAGTCCCCAGGGGATAGCCTTTGAAGGAACAGAAAAGGTGATAGACTAGCGCGCCCGGAGTGGTGTGGCCACAAGCCCAAGGAGGCAAGGAAGGGGACTCTCCGAGGACCTTGGGGGAGGCAGGCCCTGCTGACGCCTCGACTTCTGGCCCCTGCAGCTGTAAGAGAATAAATTTCTGTTGTGTCAACCCATGGCGTTTGAGCTTATTTGTTAACAGCAGCTCTAGAAACTCCCCCACCTCCCCAACTTGTGACCATAGTTATCTTCCTATAGCCAGAAAACTAAGGAGCTAGAGGAAAGTTTTCAGGTGCTAAAGCGAGGAAATTTGAAACACGAGGTGCCCCAGCCCCACCTCCAGAAAGCCCAGGTAGAGGCACTGCTGCCTCTGGCCTCACCACTTGGTCCAGGACCACAAGTAACTCAGCATCAAGCAGGACCGCCTGGAGGACGTCGCTCAGAGCTGTCTGCTGCTGCTCCGGCAGCTCCACGAAGGGGTGGAAGTTCCTCTCCAGCAGCGGGGTGGCTGTGAAAGAGCAGACAGAGCCCAGTGGCACGGCCACCGCATGCGCCCCAGGACAAGGGCAGCAACCCCTGCTTGTCGAGCTCCTCGCCCGTGTTAACCAGACTGTAGCAAGATGGGAGACAGAACAGCGGCTCAGTGGAAGAGGGTGCATCCATTTTGTTTCAGCCGCCACTCTAACCTCTGCTGACTCGCTAACATTAATTAAGCCAAGTCAATTATTTTTTGGAAAAATTTAGATTTCTTCCCCATTAGCATGATTTCTATAAAAGTGAACCATCAAAGTCGGATTACCGACCATCAGTTGGTACTTTTACAGAGCTTCAAAGTCATACAAATTCCAAAGCACGTTATTTCTCAAATCCTAACACACTGCAGATTTGTATCCTTTAATATTTAACACATACCTTCAAAGGGGTCGCTGCCCTAATTTCATGGCACACACTTTCTCCATTCTCTTCATCTGCCCTGGAGGAAGGACACCCAGGTCTGGGTCATCACATTCCCTGCAGGATGCTTGAGCCTCTCCTCTTAATCTCTCAAAAGAGCTAGTAAATGAACCCCGCAAGGATTTAAGACCAAGATTCTATAAACTTTTGTCCAGATACATAAATGCCCACTGATGTAGTGTCACCTATGTATCAGCTGCTGTACACAACTGTGTAAGCACTTAGATATTAGTATGCATGATAATGCACCCCCTCTTGGGAGGGACGAATCACCTCAGGAGCTGATATATCAAAACTGCCTGGTGAGCAGCTGGGTGTTTGCCAGGCTGGCCACGCTCTTCCTATCACCCCCAGCCTGCCGCAGGCTGACAAGAGATACTGACCAGAATGACCGGGTGGACAGCTAAGAAGGAAATACTAAGAAAGCTGCAGCCCACCTCCCGTCTCGTCACGTTCCTGCACCACACACAGCTCCAAGCTGCAGGCCCACTGCTGCTTTGATTTTGACCCAAGCCATCAACTCCAATTAGTGGCAGCTGAAAGTCGCACTCAAATGATAAATCTGGGCAAGCAGCGGAGGTGCCAGCAGCCTGCGTCAGACAGGGAAGGCTCCTCTTGAGATCAGGACTTTGTGCCATTTTCCACTTGGACAGTTGTGGTACAGAAACAAAAGCCTCATCTGGTTTGGGACTCACTGATCAGTCTCCTCACACTCACGCCAGAGCACACTCGAGCTGGCTCCTAGCTCTAGCTCTTCACTGAGCTGCCTATGTGTTGCTCCTTTTCCTTGCCCATCTCTCCTATCAACTGCACTCCACCACCCTCCACCCCCCTCCAGAAAATAAGCCGGAGCAGTGCTACAGAGATCAAAAGTCCCACAGGCAGGTGACAGTACTTGCCTCCTGCCAGCCTCCATGTGACAACCGCTGAGAGCCTGAGGGGTAAAGAGCCTGCTTTCAGCTCTCCCTGGTGGCACAGCGGGTTAAAGCACAGACTAAGAAGCTAAAGCCATTTCCGCATGAGTTCGATCCCCACCTGCCCCAGAGGTGACCCACAGGGCGCAGCAGACCTCTCCTGGCCCACCCGCTGCTCCCCTCAGCAGTGTACTTTGATGATCTGCCTGTTCTGCTCCCCGCTCTGTCTCTGGTGAATCACCACTGCACCTCTGGCCTGTAGCCCAGATCTGTATGCACAAATAAAAAAAAGACTGCAAGACTAGGTTTTGAGTGCTGGCAAGACACCACTTATGGCGCCAACAAAGCCTGAAACGTGGTGAACCAGATGCAGAAGTTGGGTGCTCTCTCCCTGCTGCTGACTGGCTATTCTTAGCAAGTCATGCTCCATGAACATGGAAAAAGGAAACAAAATGGCCTGATCCACACCTCAGACTCCCACCCTGCCCCCATTAAATGGCCTTCCCCCCCACCCCCAGTGACAACGGAGATGGGTGGTCCCCTGAGATGAGTCCCAAGTGGACTAGGACCAATTCGGGCCTGCTCTCGCTTCTCAGGTGTTTTCACGAAGTCACCGGCGTCACTACACTCCTGAGGTCACGCCACCCTCAGGTACAGAGACCGCTCGGTGGTCAGCTCCCCGCCCAACCCCTGCAATACCTTGTTTGAAGATACTCAGTGGCCTCTGCCCACCATCTGGCATGTCGTGATACTCCAGTTCTCGAAAAGGCAGGCGTTCCATGAAGACACACACACTTCTCTCCTGCTCAAAGCCACCATGTTTCCCTTGCAGGAGACAGAATTCTGTGATGCAAAAGAAAAGGACAGCGGGCATGGGGTCAGCCTGGCCTTGCTGGCACATCAGACCTGGCGTCACCTGCCTCAGGCAGGACAGAAGGCACATCCACCCCTTGTGCCCGCACACCCACTTCCTACATGCCATGCTGGCCGGACAACCTCTGTCACTTCCTACAAATGTGAGCCGTGGGTTCCCCACATAAAGCGCTCAGGCTTGTTCCCTCAGCACTGGCAGGAGCAATCATTCAAACCCTGGGCGCGTTTCATGATCCTGACGTGGACAGAGCAACTCGAAAGAACGCACCACATATGAAATTGACAAAGTCTGATGTGGTTGAGCTGATAATACTAAAGAATTACTGACAGAATACTTCGGTGCACAAATGTTCGTCACATAAGAGTCAACTTATTAATAGGGCTACTTACACAGCAACTAAAATCGAACGATGGGTTTCTGCACCTAATGACCGTTACGTGTTAAATGGAAAAACCAGGCACAAAAGAGTGTCCTACAGAAATCTGTATAAAGTCAAAACTAGTCTTTTTTTTTTTAAGTTTTATTTTTCAGAGATACCAGAATATTTGTAGACGAAACAGTAAAATGCCTAGGAGTTGCTTCAAAGTCATTGAATGGGGGTGAAGGGAGGTAGCGAGGTTAAGAGATGAAAGATGAATTAGTCTTGTTGGAACTGGTACTGCCGAGTTCATTAAATATCTCTACTTTTGAATATGGGTGAAATTTTCCATTTCTTATTTTTAGGAATAATAAATGTTTCCTTAAACACTTCCATATTTGAGATTCCAGCAGAGGTATCTTAGTTGTGGGTAAAATAATAACAGTTATGTTCTTGCTAAGCAAAAACAGTAAGTCAGCCCCACAAACGGGTGTCCCTTATGTTTGTGTTTACTAGTTAGGATTCTTAGAAGAAAAATGCAGCCGAGCATGGCTGCAAAGTGTGGGGATTCGCACTTCTTTTCATTTGTTTGTGGGCAGTGGTGACTTTCCTGGTCTAACAGCCCGGAGCCACAGCCCTGCTTTCTCAGCCACCCCCTCACTGGGCATCCAGGGAGCACCCCTGCCCCCACCCTCTTGCTCTGTCCTTTGACCAGAACACTGAGATGGAGCCATGAGAACCAGCTCCCAGGCAGTGACTTCATATCCTGGGAACCCGGACCATTAACAGCCTCAGGTCCCGCCAAGTGGGGGACCTGCTGTGGCAGTCCATGGCCCCTGCAGCCCTCCGCCTTCACATGCGCACAGCCCCTGGACGCTCTGCAGGCTCCGCCTCTCATGTCCACATCGGGCACAGCACAGGGAGTCAGACATATGAGGACTACACCCCAGCTTCACAATCAGTCTGGCCCAAGTGGGAATGGGAAACTTGGGGTGATGCTGAGGCCTGTGACTGGGGTCCTGAGCCAGAGTGGCGGGTGCAGAGAGAACCAGAGAAGATCCCTGGACTGGCAGTCTTAAGGCGCCATCTAAAGGCAGGAATTGTGTGGAAAGGGAGGTGGGGATTGCGCCAGAAAGGAGCAGCAATACTGGGCTCGGGTGGGGGGATGGGGATGCCGAGGGGGGGGTAACTTGCGCTGAGATGAGGCAAGGAGACAAGCCCAAGAGAATGGGGGAGGCAATAGAATGACTTTCAATTTTTAAATGGTTGCACTAACTATACTGCTGGATGGAACAGAGAGGGGGTGATTTCTCAAGGCAAAGAACTCAGTTAAGAGTCTGGGGGTGGGGAGGCTGCCTGTAAAGCAGGCTTGGCCCTGCAGGAAGCTCCAGGTCACATCCAGGATCTCCCCGAACTGTGTGCTTGAAAGGACATGCGTACCCAGGATTGCGCTGCGCACATCCAGGCTACAAAGTGCTTCTCTTTGGCTGCAAGAGGAGAGCTTTTGTTGAAGGAAAGGGTTATGGGGAAGGATCCTTAGGCAAGGAAGATGGCACAGGTGTCTCCCAGTGGGACTCAGAGGAAGCCAGCCCCTCGGTTTCAAAGAACAAACCACCGGATCTTTGTCAAAAGGACTTCCAGAGGATGGGAGGAGACATCAGGCAACCCCGTGGGGGCCTTCCAGCCCCTATGTCTATGTTTGCGAAGCCAGGGGAGAACATTCTGTGGCAAGAGTGATAGAAGATGCAGATGAGGTAAAAACAGAACCATTTAAAAAATTCGCTTGAGTCACAGGAATGAGGCCCGAAGGCCAGGCAGCAGGGGCCTCACCCTAGGCCTTGGGGAAAGGGCAGCTTGGCTCCTCCAGGGCCAGAGAAGGGGAGTGAGCCAAAGACCCTGGAGCTTTCCCCTGGGCCCTCTTCTCAGCAGCACAAAGAGAAGTTTATTTTCAAAGGCAGCAGCCAGCCAAGATAAAAGCCTGGTAATTGAAATGCAAACTGGAGAGCCTGACCAGGCAAAGCTGTGTGTCTGTCCAACTCCTTCTGAGAAAAACAGGCCTTCGGGGGTGACGGTGGGGGGCAAAGAGCTACAGGCAGGGCAGGCACCACCCCCTCCATAAACAGGATGCCCACCTTGGGGCCTCCCAAAAGGGACACCTGGACCGCCAGACCACGCAGGAGCATCTGGGACTGGAACCACAGGATCACACGTGCCATGGTCTTTCCACACTGAAGATAGAAACTGGAGGAACAGCTGAATCAGCTGGACTTCACAGTTCCACATACAAATCTTTCCGAAAGGAAGTATGAAATAATACCACCCAGCGTGACACAAATTTGGAACCATGGCCTCAAAGAGTGTATATCAGGACTTTTGGTCTTCGGGCATTTGTGTCCCTAACCTACCTCTCTAAAGCAGCTACTTAAAACCGACACCTTCACTTACAGTCACTCGAGGCAAATCACTGCACCTCCCTGAACCTCACCTGCTCCCTGTGAGAGGCCTGATAACACTCCGCACTCAGTGACCTCCGTTGGCTCCTGGTGCCCATGAGGCCAGGTGCCCCATCAGGACTGTCAGCTTCCCGGTCCTTTTGGTCATGGTCAAATGGTGGGGAGCTCATGTGGGTGTAGTGAGTGTGAAAGGTTCCCAGAAAACTCACCCCTCACAACTCCATACACATGGAGGGGAGCGGAGGGCAGCAGCCGCAGAAGACACATTATCTCCAAGCCTCAGGGCCCACTTTTCAAATATATCACTAAGAAAAGTGCACACGAAGAGAGAAGGGTACTTGTACCTCCAAACACCCACCAGCTCCAACAACCGGTCTTGGCCTCTACCTCCCCCCACACACCTCACAGCCCACCAGTGATCCTCTTAAAGCAAATTGCAGAAACATTACCATCTTATCTATGAAAAGTTCAGTGCACATCTCTAGACACTGACTTTTTAATCAACATAATCATGTCATTACCACAGCCCAAAAGGCAAACAATAATTGATGATGCCACATGTATTCACTCATGTCCCCAGTAGTCAGGGAACATGACTTGGACTCACCCTAACATCTTAGGAAGAACATGAAATGGGGGTGGTTTTGAGCAGATGCCCAATAAATGAAAGCCCCTATCTTCTTCAGTTTGGAACACGCTGGTGGTCCACAGAGTGAGAAGGCAGCATTAGGAATAGCTGAGGTGCCGTGATGACCGGCCCACCACGTGCCGGGCACACCACACCCTCAGCTTACTCAGTCCTCACCATGGTCCTGGGAGGGCCCGGCTACCCAGGCCAGAGGGGGACAAGCCCCAGCAGTCTGCCTGCGCCCACCGACGCCAGGCACTGTCTGCAGGCGTCTGATGGCAGTGCCAGGTATTTAGTCCTGGCCCCGTTAGTGCCTCTAGATCCCACCGTGGTGGGGGCCGCTACAATGTGTACTTCAAGGGAAGAAGGGGGTGTCCCTCAGCATTGGCTCAACCACCTTCTGAGAGACCCAAGCAGGAGTCGCACTCACCAAACTGGCCATCCAGCTTCACGTGCAGCTCAATGACACCATAGGCAATGGCGGTGGCCGCTGGGATCTCCAAAACCACGTTGGTGTCCTTGATGACGTTTCCGTCCTCCATGGCCGACACCTGTGGATGAGCGCGCATGTGTCTACCTCTGCTCTCAGACGCCCCCCTGTGGCCAGCTAGTGCCCTGCACACAAGAGGAACTCCATGCCCGGGAGCCAAAGGGAAGGGAGGAACAGCCCTTCCCTTGATGGCCTCATGACAGATGGCCAGCCCGGTGGCACAAAACCAAGATTCTAGAGTCAGGGACACAGTGAAATGAGGTCTGAATAAGGAAGTTAATAAGTAACTCCCCAACTCCCCTCATGAAGATAATCATAAAAAACAACTTTGAAACCCTAGTGAAAAGCTTAAACAATAGCAAAGCCAGACTGGAAGAACCTAGCTAAGCCCAAGAAGCCCCACCCCCCTCTCCATGCATGTCATTTCAGACTCCTGTGGATGGGACACCAGCCTATTAAATAAACCCAGGGAGAGGCTGGCAGGAGAAGGAAGGAAGAGAGGACCGGCAAGAAATGCCTCAAGGAAGGCCACCAGGCTCTCCTCGGGCACTGCTAGGAGTCAGACCTTGCCCTCAGTGACCTGGCAGGAGAAAGCAAGAATCCACTTGCTATCCACACACTGGAAGTGACAGGCCTTTAGCAACTCGCCCCTGGGTAGAGTGTGATGCTGGGCAGAGACCCTGGGTAGTGACTTGAGGCTCCAGGCCTCTGGTAGGGAGTCTCTCTGGGTAGAAACATTGGCATGGCCATCTACCACTCTGTTCCTCCATCATCACTGCTGTCTAGCTACTGGCCTGATCTCGGGGTCGGGGGGGACAGGGTCTAACCCGAATCATAACTCCATCTTCCTTCAAACACAACTTTCCTGGGCCCTCTTGCAAAAACTAAAAGTTGCCTCAAGAAGTAAACCTCTGGGCCCTCCCTGGTGGTACAGCTGGTTAAAGCACAGCACTGAGAATCTAAAGCCACTTCCGCATGAGTTCGATCCCTGCCTGCCCCGGAGGTGACCACATGGCGTGGTAGACCTCTCCTGACCCACTGCTGCTCCTCTCAGCAGTGTATTTCATCGATCTGCCTGTTCTGCTCCCCACTCTGTCTCTGGTGAATCCTCTCACCCTCTGCATCTCTGGTTTGTACCCCAGTTCTGTATGAATAAATAAATCTTAAAAAGAAAAAAAAAAAAGAAGTAAATCTCTAAGAATAGATAATCAAGTACCAGAACAAGCTGGAGGGGAAAGAGCCTCCTGCTCCAACAACATTTACCAGCACAGGGTCAGCCTGTTTAATCCAGAAGCATCTGCTTATGTAGCTAGAGACAGACGCATGTACTGATCTTCACTTCCTTAAAGCAACTCACAAAGGACTGGAGGCCACTAATTCCAAAGTAATCATCTGGAGCCCCTGGCTCTGAGGGGCTTTAGGGGTTACCTGGGCATTTGTCCAATGGGCCCATTGGACCCATTTTTCTTTGCAGAATGCACCTGACCCAAACCTACATGGTCAAACCAAGTGCCCTGCTGTCCTGAACTGGGGTTGGTACCAGAGAAGGACAGAACCAGGTGAGAGCTGCCCCAAAGCACCATCCCTCCTTGGGCTGCCACAGATCAGAGGAAACCCAGAGCTGTCGAAACCCAGAGCTGTCAGCACCAGTCTGAGAGGGCACACACAGCTGAAGAGATTCACCCAAGGGAAGGGAAGGCAGGTCCCCTTCTCAGAGTCCTGCTGTTACTGTCCTCAGATCTAGCTGTTACTAAAGCCAGTTGCCCCAGAATTTCACCTACATGAGCCAATAAGCTCATCCTTAAGCCAGTTCGAGTTGGGTTTCTGCTCACTCACTACACCAAGCACCCTGACCAGTGAGAACACCCAGAGGTGTTCTCTGGCCAGGGTGGCCAGGCCTCCGTGGCTGGAACCAGCCTCTGCCGTGGCCTGACCCCCGCAGCCCCAGCCTGCCCTGGCACATACCTGCACCGTCTTGGTCTGGATGCCAACCATGCCACCACACTTCTCCTCGATCTGCATGTGCTCCGATATCACACACTTCTGCGTGGTCACTATCTTCTGTGTCAGAATGCACAGGACCTCATTCCTACTTTCCAGCACCTGCTGCAGTATGGGATTTTTCATATTTATTTTCCTGAAAGAGTGAAACCACAGTGAGTGCCCCAGGGGCCTCTGGAGAGAAGGCTGCACATGAATTTGCTCCTGTTACACAGCCAGCGGCCGAGCAGGAACAGGTGACAGCCAGTGTCAGGTACACACTGATGGGAGGGAGGGCAGTTCATCTGGAAAGGATAGACCGAACTCTCCAGAGGCTGCCTCAGAGAGCCCAGGCCTCCAGAGAAATGCCGGTAGCCAAAGAAGGGGGGCTGTTGTGGGGACCCCAACGTGGTTGTCAAGGAGGAAGAGCAGAAAACAAACTGGTGGGGGCAACCTCAGTCCATCCGGCTCAGCCCCTGGGAACGTCACCTCGTTAGTTTATCAGAGGCCAAGAGACATTACAGCCCAGCCCAGGAAATTAGCTTAGAAGCCAGGGTGGAAGGGGAGAGGAGCAGGCTTAAATACAGGCTGTGAAGAAGAAACTCCACGTCCACTAAAGGGACTTCCTGACCTTTCTGTGCTCTATCTTGGGGGGGGGGGGGAAGGTGGGGGGTTCTCATCATTTTACAATGGGGAAACTAAGGTCAGCCAGGTGTGTGTCCTGCCCAGGTCACCCAGCAGGGATTTGGAGCTCTTGCATAGCTACTCTGGAGATTTCATGAACAAGCTGGATTTCCATCAACAGGGGGCAATTTCACACTTAGAAGCAAAAGATGCCATCCCCTGTGAGACCTCAGTTCAACCCTGTCAGTCTACAAAGTGGACAGAAAAAGAACCAAGTTAGATCTGGCAGACGCACGACTCCCTCTAGCACAGCTATTTGGCTCATCCTCCTCTGGACACACACTTGAGCAGCCACAACTCCTTGCCTCCTGCCCAACAAACTGAAGGTGCCCGAGGGGTCCCAAGTGACTCTGGCAGATGGAAATCCTTGTACCACCGGTGACATCGTCAGATTCACTCGAGCACTTGATGCTGTCTAAGCATGGTATGTGCCTGGGAAACAAACACTCAGGATGGACTACCCCAGCCTCCACTGTTTAAAACGCCCTCCTCCCTCCAGAAGACCCACCTCGTCTCATCCTACACACTCGAAGGAGAAGGGGCAAAGTCATCGCCAGCGTGTCCCCTCCTGCGCTGATGAGGCTCAGCCCCGAGGTGCCTGCCTGTTCTGCCAAGCACCTGCACCTCCACACGGTCCCACCACAGGAGGGGGGCAGGGCCTGGCCAGGGCCGCCCTTACCCAGGCTAGGAGACGGGAGAAGAGAGGCCTGCAGAAGGGGCTCCTCCAGGGTGTGCAGGTGCAGTTTCTAGATGGCAGGCACGCCCTGCACGGCCACTGGGATCGGGTCCCCCGGGACAGTGCTGCCACCTTTTGGAACTCGATCTGAGACACAGCTGCAGATTGCAGATAGCTCCAGCAGGCAGAGGGGTCACTGTCAGGGCAAATGGACGGGTCGCCTGACTCTGCCATCTCCAGAGGGAATTCTTTCCCATCTCCTCTTCTAGTCAACACCACCAGACCCAGATGGGCTAGTAGGAACCAGACCCTGACTCTGGGCCTCTTCAGAGTAGGAGTCCCAGTGCGACAGGTGCCCCTGAGGCCCAAATGTGGAAACCAGCCATATTTCCGATAATCCACTTACTTTACAGTTGTGTATATTTTCCTGTGTGCCTATCAAGAGGTCTATGTATTTCTTTAGCCCATTCAAGGGGTTCAAGGAACAAATGTTTAAAATCCTAGATTAGAGGATTCACAGAAGAGAAACAAGGAGGCCCAGAGAGGTTGAAAATAGTAAGCAGAGTCACACAGCTAAAAAGCCAGCTAGCCTTTCACAAAGCGCCCCATCCCCCACAATGGCAGCCGCTCGAATACTGCCACGTTCCCCTCTGCATCAACAGGGTGCACTAGCCAGCGGCTGGGAAAGATGACATCCAAGATGACAAAGATGACATCCAAAGATGACATCCAAGTCCTCGGGAAGTCTTCTTCTATCTACATCCACCTGTCCTCCTGGACCCCACCTGCTAATGGCTACAGCCAATGACCTTAGAAAAGCTGTCCCTAGACTTTCCTGATTTGCTCCATCTCTCCTGGACCTCAGCATCTCTGAACAACATGGACAGAGTCTGTCCATAAGACACAAGAGACGCAAGGAAATATTCATGGAAGGTGCTTCTTGGGTGGAAGACTTCTCTCCTGTTCTCTTCTTTCCTTTGGAAGTTAAAACATTAAGTTATCAGTTATCAAGTTTTTTTTTTTTTTTTAATTAAAAAAAGACCTGTGGGGCCTTCCCTGGTGGCACAGTGGGTTAAGGCACAGCACTGCAAGCTGGTCGCAGCCACTTCAGCATGAGTTCAATCCCCACCCTGGAGATGACCCACATGGTACAGCAGACCTCTCCTGACCTGCCCGCAGCTCTCCTCAGCAGTTTACTTCATCAGTCGGCCTGTTCTGCTCCCTACTCTGTCTCTGGTGAATCCTCTCACCACCCCTGTACCTCTGGCCTGTACCCTACGTCTGTATGCATAAATGAATAAATCTTTTTAAAAATTTTTAAAAAGACCTGTAGACAGACTGAAGAGAAAAAATGCCCTGCTCCTATCATTAGTGCCTGGGCCTATGCTGTCCACCCTGTTGCTGGCTAACTGGACATACGTCCTCGGCAATTCTAAAGGGCAGGGTTGGAATCAGTGTCCACTGACAGGAGCCTGGGGCAGAAGCTCGGCCGTGAGAAAATGAGCAACCAGTGTCTTCATCCTTTCATACTTTTTTTTTTAAAAGATTTATTCATGCATATAGAACTGAGGTACAGGCCAGAGGTGCAGAGGCGGTGAGAGGCTTCACCAGAGACAGAGAGGGGAGCAGAACAGGCAGACTGATGAAGTACACTGCTGAGGGGAGCAGCGGGCGGGTCAGGAGAGGTCTGCCACGCCATGTGGTCACCTCCAGGGTGGTTGTTGAACGCACACTGCAGCGTCTGCCATAGCTTGCAGTGCTGAGTCCCAACCCCTGCGCACCAGGGAGGGCTCTGACATGTCTTTTGCTTCCTGGTGCCTTTCTCACAACAGGAAAGCATAAACAGGCGGCCACGGACACAGAGAAGAGCATAATTTGAAAGGGTTGGACCAAAGAAACACAACTAGATACAAGAGGCATACACACCCCGAAGGGGAGAAGCGCACCCTTTCCTGGCCCAGTGGACTTGCTGGGCCCCTCGCACCCTTCTCCTGTGCGCTCACCCCTTCTGTGTACCTGGCAGCTGCATATCGGGCACTGGGTCAGCCAGGTGGCTCCAGCTTCAGTCTGGCTCGCAGGTACCTACCGCCTGTGTCTGTAGGTGGGACGTGACCCAGAACCTTACCTCGGTGCACTCTTGCTCAAGTGGCCGGCCGTTCCCAGCCATAAATGCTTTTCCCTTTCCACTACTGACAAAGAAGGCAGGTCCAGCTCTCTTTCTAAGCCAGTCAGGGCACAGCCATCATCTGCAGGGTGCTGACCTTTTCAGTACAAAAGGTCCAGGGTGCGACTTCTAGGTGAACCCTCATCAGGAAGCAGACCCACAGCAACAGGAGGGACCAGGAGCACTGGCTGAGCAGCCGCGCAGCCCCCCCACCCCACCCCACCCCGGAGGCAGCTCTTCTGCCTCCAGGCACCTAAAATCTCCCAGGCACATTCCTCAGGAAACTGCCTCCACTCCCAGGCCAGAGCGGGAACTGCCATTTCTTCTACTTCTACGGTGACAAACGCCAAATACAAACACAGGCGAAGACTTAAAACTCTATAATTATAGATGTACAGAATCATTAGGAGGAAGACAGCGAGACCCTGCGGCCGAGATGGGACACCACCACCGCAACTCACTTAGCATTTAGAACAACACCTCACAACTCACTCATTCACTCCACAAATACCCAAGCCCTGTTATGCTCTGGCCACAGGCTGGGTGCTGGGGGGTGGGGTGGGGACTCAGTGAACAAGACCAAGGCAGTCACTGCCACATGAAGTGCTTGTGGAAGAACCCTCAGAAAGAGCATGTCACAGAGGGCTGGCTTCTGATGGAGCGCAGACAAGCTCCGGAGTGGGAGTCCCCGGACAGAGCAGCAGCATCAGTGAGGATCCATCTGCTGGGAAAAGTTGTAAAACGACAGGGTCGCCAGGAGCTCCTGGACCTGGGATGGAAGGCCAGGGCATGGTGATGCCACCTCGCTGGGCGGAAAGGGCACTAAGTACCCAGCCCGGGAGGCGTGGAGGTTGTGGAGGCTCGGTGGTGTCCGGCACAACGTGGTCCTGGTCACCCAGGTCTTCTCCAACACCTGTGTCACAATGGAGGCGGCACCCCCCACAGGCTACCGACGTGTGAAAGGGCAGAACCAAAAGCAGAACGTGCATCTTCTGTCGCTTAGGCCAGTGTACTTTTCATTACGTTGCTCTAAAAAGTGAGAGCAAAGGCAAAAGAAGCAAGCATGCTTTAAAGAAACAGGAGGCTGCCCACATTGGTTTCAACCTCTTCCTAGATCAGTGATGGGGACAGAAAAAGAACCCAAAGGCAGTGGCGGCTGGCTGGCAATTTTGAGAAAATCAGGAATTGCTCTCCTACAGAAATGCAGGTCCTTGTGGATGATTAAGTAATTTGGGCTTTGTGCAATGACTAACGCTGCAGTCGAAGGCGAGTATGTGCACAAGCCAGCTGCAGAGAGGCAGAATCACAAGCTGTTCAGATCAGGTCAGTGCACATAGTTTGATTCAGCTCAAGATTTCATTAAGCGGCAAAGTCAGCTTCCCTCCCAGTAGCAAGCTCCTCCATTCTACAGACCTGGCAGAGCACCCACCCTAGCTGTGACTAGAACTTACTTTGGGAGTTTTATTTAGAAAGCCATCTATGCACGTACCAGGCTGCTTCGGCTGCCTCTCTGCTCCCCGCCCCCAGGGGGCCTGCACTCCTGGAAGCATCCTGAGAGCGCCCCACAGAGAAGGAGTACATCAGCCAGGGCTGTGCTCTTTGTCCAGGCAAGTACTGAACTCTTGGGCCTGGCATTTTTAACCCTGAATGTGGGGCCCTGGCTGATGCCTACCCAGATTCTATTCAAATTTTGAGAGACTTGCACTAGAGGAGGAGTTGGACTCAGTCCGGCAGGTGAGTCTCTGAACCAAGCCTGGTAACTGCACTGGTCTTAGCAGAACATCTGCAGCAATGCTGGCCACTTAAGGCCTAAGAAAAAAATCTATCGTGAGTCCCTGGGAGCATCTTTCTCCCTCTTGAGAGACACAAGGAAGAGACCAGACCTTGTATAATGCCCCCATTGGGAACGACAAGAACTAGGCTGCAGCAGGGACAAGCAGCTTGTGGACACTGCCACAAGGGGGAGCCACGGAGCCAATGAACTAACCACCTACCATCCACCTTTGGTTAAGGGTGATTCATGCTAGCTCAGAATATTCTCTTATGTGAGGCAGTAATAGAGGTTCTTTGGAACTAAAGACACTTTAAAGGTTTGTGAAGTTACGGTCACCTTTATTTCACTGAGAGACAAGTAGTGCCAACTACCCTCAGCAGTTAATTTCAGTATAACTGCCTGTTCTGTTCCCCACTGTCTCTGGTGAATCCTCTCATTCCCTGCACCTCTGGCCTGTACCACAATTCTTGTATGCGTAAATAAAAAATAAATCTTTAAAAAAAAAAAAGGCGGGGGAGCTCTCATCAACCAGTGACCCAAGGGCACAGGGCAACCAGAGACTGAGAATAGAGCTCAGCATGCCCATCCCCAAAGCCCTGCCATCCATCTTCCCTCTCCCCTGAGACACCTCTGAGTCCTGCATACAGGAGGTACATAATGCATGCTTGTTCACATTCTGTGTTTCAATCCTCCTGCAAAGGGCCCAGAGACTAGAGGCAGAACCTCTCAGAAGCCCAAGCATCATCACGGTGGGGTCCTCACATCAAGTCTCCATTTCGACCATCAGGCAATCTCCAGGAACCTAAAATGGGATCCTGGGGCTGCTTTTTCCAATACAGTAACAAAAGCCTGTCTCACCCACTTGGCTATAATTCTAGGATTGTAAATTGCCTGAAAAAGTCAAAATGCTAACTACAGGTCAGGACCAAAGTGAACGACCAGCAGAGGCCCACACTGCAAACACCAACTCTTTACACATCAGCCTGTAGTAACTTATCTCACAAACACCGGAGTGAGCGGGACGAGCCCTCTGGGGCAGTCAGCCTTTGGAGTAGCTCACTAGTCCAGCAGGTCTGCAGGAGGATGAACCAAATGCAGGGAGCAAATCCACAGAGCCCTTGGGACATTTTTCTTTCCAAGCTCTGTGCCTCAGCCGTCACCCTGGAAAAAATCCTGTGTTTTGTGCGCCTGGGCTTAAATCCTGAGTCAAGACAAACTAATTAACTTCTGCAATTCAGGCTCCTCAGATGTAAAATGAAGATAAACCAATTATTCTTTCAGCTGAAAGTGCTTGGGGTGCTGCAGGCCCTGTCTGGGCCCTCCCCTTGGGGACAAAAGCAGGTGTTTTGGGAGAGACTCAAGGGCCAGGCAGTCACCACTCCCCTCACCACGTGGCTCAGCTGGTGTCTAGCAGGGCTCCTGAAGGCTAATCGGAGTGATGGGCCAGGTGAGGTGGAGGGAGGTGTGTGTGGACAGGCTTGGGATGAGAAAGATGGGGATGTTTATTCCAGAGATGGAAGTAAATTCAGGGGACTGGCCTGGGGGGGGGGTGTGGGGGTGTGTGAGAGGAGGCTCAGAGATGGTGCTGCAGAGCAAATTGTGTGATGTCGTTGTCCCAGGACAGCAGAGAGTATAGGAGGGTGAGCCAGTGATGTGACCCCATAACTGCCATGTGGGACAGGGTGCAGAGCTCCAAGGACGTCCTGATGAGAGATGGTGACAAAGGCCAGCACCAGGGACATGGCTGTGAGCTGGGGAAATGGGAACAGGTAAGAATGGAATCATGAGGCAAAATCTGAGGCCATCCTGGTGGCACAGGGATGGTCTCAGCATTATGGAGCTATCACCAGCCACTACAGCATGAGTTCAATCCCCAGCCAGGGAGCTGACCCACATGGTGCAACAGAAGACCTCTCCTGTCTCACCTGCTGCTCCCCTCAGTAGTGTACTTCATCAATCTGCCTGTTCTGCTCTCTGCTCTGTCTCTGGTGAATCCTCTCACTCTCTGCACCTCTGACCTACACCCTAGTTCTTATATGCATGAGTAAAAATATATCTTAAAAAAAAAAATAGCAGGGGCCTCCCTGGTGGCACAACAAGTTAAAGCGCAGCACTAAAAGCCAGCCATAGCTGCCTCAGCCTGAGTTCGATCCCTGGCACTGGAGGTGACCCACATGGCACAGCAGACCTCTCCTGCCTCGCCCGCTGCTCCCCTCAGCAGTGTACTTCATTGATCTGCCTGTTCTGCTCCCCACTATCTCTGGTGAATCCTCTCACCGCCCCTGCATCTCTGGCATATACCCCAGTTCTGTATGCATAAAATAATTTTTTTTTTAAAGATTTATTTATTTGTGCATACAGAACTGGGGTACAGGCCAGAGACTCAAGGGCGGCGAAAGACTTCACCAGAGACAGAGTGGGGAGCAGAACAGGCAGATCGAGGAAGTACACTGCTGAGGGGAGCAGCGGGCGGGTCAGGAGAGGTCTGCCACGCCATGTGGTCACCTCCGGGGCAGACGGGAATCGAACTCATGCGGAAGTGGTTTCAGCTTCTTAGTGCAGCGCTTTAACCCGCTGCGCCACCAGGGAGGGCCCTAAAATAATTTTTTTTAAAAGAAGAATTAACTAGTGAGAAGTTTAGTATAGGAACCAGGTAAGGAAGGAGCCAAATCTGATACTCCTATTTCTGGCTTACACTTCTGGGTTTATGCCTCAACAACCGGCAGCTTGGGGAGCGTCAGGCAGAGAATGGCTTAGAGAAAAGATGAAAAGCTCAGTGGTGGGGAGAGCCCAGGTTATACAATGGGTACACAGTCAGGGAACAGACATGTGCTCCCCTGAATTCTAACTCCTGACTCACTCCAGCAACCCCAGTTTTGTACAGTGAACCTCATAAATTCTAAAACACTTTTCACGTCTTAACATCTCTGAAATCAAGGTATTTTAAATTGATGGGTGATGTAGTTAATTGGCAGTATTCTTCCTTGGTGGTATATAAAGTAGCGGTATATCTGACAGTGGATGACAGGCTTTGAGGAAATACAAAAATGTCTATCAATCATTAAAGAAAATAGTACTTGAGTGTTTCTCCTTATGATGTAAACCCTACTTAGTTCCAAAAAGATCTAAAGTAGCCTTTAAAAGTTAAACTCAACAGACAGGATGCTATCAAAAAAGACAAAAGTCATCCCAGTGGTGAAATGTTGGAGAGAATTCCAAAAGGCCTTTCTAGCCCTCCTCACCTGCATAAGGGGTTGTCAGCTGGCTATATTTTTCTAAGGATAAAAACAGCTGAAGGTCAAATAAGCTTCTAGGAGCTCTCA